GAGTTTATGGACTTTGAGCATATCCCACCTATAGTTGTCAGACTTAATTACTAAGCGACAATAGCTCTTTGAAGTAATTCATCTACACTAATTGCTGAGCAGGTTTTGAACGGCTCTGTTTGCCAACTCGTTTTAGAATACCATTTAGCCTGGTCTGTCCGTAGAAATTGAGGACGTTCCTCTGAAAAGTCTGAGATAGTTTTCATCTAAAAGACTTTTGGATTTGTTGATGCCATGATCAGCTTTTGGCAATTAGCTTGAGTGTTAGACACAGTTACTATTAGACATCTTTCTTGTACTTTGGAGAACTGCTGGTGCTTTGGTTGCTCTGTTGGGTGCCAGAAGAGAGACAAGGTGAATGCAATCTAATTGCAAAGACAACGTGAATGAAAACGGAAGAAGGTGTAAGCTTTATCTGACTCAATATAGCCTGTCTTCCGTTTCTCTGTACAGCTTAGGAATTTGTGTGAATTCTTAGCCTTCATTCTTCAGGTTGGGCAAGACAATTATTTGATTTTGTGTTGACACTACTAGCTGGCAGCTTTTTCAATGCAACTGCACCTAAATATGTTTGTGTTCATGCTGACCAATTTGGGATTGTTTTTAATAATGGGAAGGGTGGTAGAAATTTAATCTATAATCTATCATTTGAGTTTATTTTCCCATTTTTGTATCATTAGGACTGTTCTTTCTATGCATGGTAATATTTAAGAGATGCTTTTAAAAAAGCTGCCCTTTGGAGAAACATTATAGAGAAAGGTATGGGTAGAGAAACATGTAGACTAGTTACAGAAAACTGTCATAATTTTCCTTAATTATAAGCACTTTGAAACTGGTTAGGAGGGATTAAGATCTGGTGTGCTGATAAAATCAGCTTGTGAAATTGACTAGAAAGTAGATTGCTTGTCTAGGTAGGCAGGATACACCCAAATTTCTGCTTTCCCAAAAGAACTAGTGTGCAAGAAAGGATTCAGGAGCCCTATAAAATGCACAGGAATGGTGGTTTGAATGTGCACATGGTTATAGACACACATTTGGGCTAAAATAAAGCAGCAATAGTTAGAGCCACAGTGCAATTAATTGCCAAAAACATGTGGCTTTTCTAGCAATTAATGTTTCTTCCAAAGATCTGTGCTTTGTGCTCACATGTACCTGCTGGAGGTGTCACATGTATCTACTTAGCAATTACTGTGTTTTGGAAAGCTAACCCACCCCCACACGAAAGGATAAATCCTGCCCCCGTTGTCTTCACATACAAAGAAGGGGAGTGTGCAAAGCTGAGCCATTGCCCACCTTCACAGAGGGTTGATCACCGGCACGCAGGTGTGATGATTATATCTGGGATCTGAATGAGCTCTAGGACTGCCGCTGTTCATTGATGGAATAATTTGGTCTAGTAATGTGTTTCAAACTTTCTGCATTTGGTTGTACAAAAATTCCCATTGTGAGGATAATGGTGATTTTTGTAGTCAATTTTAGGATTTAATCCCTGTAATAACTGAACTAAGAGCATTCCGTGTTGCCTGCAACTCTACAATTTGTAAAACAATCCCCCTTCATTTTTGGAGAGATCTTTTCCAACCCTGTGCTAGTATAGTAGAGTGGCTAAGAATAAGCCTGTTGAATTTCACCCTTAACCATATATTCTGTAGGCAGCTTTAGGCAAGCTTTAGCACTGTTTCTCATCCTTGAGCCCACCAACTACAGTGGTGATAGTAATAATACTAGCATAATTTATTGATTTCCTGCAAGTATAAAAACATTTGGAAGAGTTGTATGAGGAGCTAAATATAAGAAACCCCCATAGAAGCCATGTTATCATGAAAAATAAGAGTAAACAGAGTTTATGAAGATTCTCAGTCATCCAGGTGGAATTGTCTGGAGGGTGAGTCATGGCAACTGGACTTCTTTTCTTTTTTGGTAGAGACATTTAGCTGCTTGTCCAAGTAGCTTCTTCAGTCAGTCAGCTGCCTGGACAAGTAGCAAAACATCTCTACCAAAAAAGAAAAGAAGTCCAGTTGCCATGACTCAACCTCCAGACAGTAAACAGGGTTCTACAACTCCATTTTCATGGGCAGTTAAGTCGCAAGATTTGGTAGCAAATTGGTCATTTTGGAAGGGTGGTGTCCTTGCCATTTTAATTCTTTCCAACCCATTGGAATTTAGAAAAGGAATCGTGTAAAGGGGGTCCAGATTCTTTCTGTACACCTGCCTGTCTGTCAGCAGGATAACTCTCCAAAACAGGACTGAACTGGACTGAATTTTGTATGGAGAGAGAAGCCAGTAGAAGAAAGACCAAGTTTGGAAATGAGTATATGGAGGAAAATGTTCTCGGTTCACAGAATACATAATCACATGCCCTTTGATCCACATACACATGTGTGTTCACGCATAGGCAACATATATGCACAGGCTAGTCTCTGGGGACCAGATACACTCAGACACAACACGTTACTTCATTATACAAAAGAAAACGCAGATCCCTGGTGTGGCTACTGCTGAGAAAGACTGGAAGAATGCTACAAGCATTCTCTGGAGCAGTGTTTCTCAACCTTGGCAACTTTAAGACAGGTAACTTCAATTCCCAGAATTCTCTAGTCAGCATGGGTGGCTAGGGAATTCTGAGAGTTGAAGTCCACCCATCTTAAAGTTGCCAAGGTTGAGAAACACTGCTCTGGAGACTTTCCTTAACTTGCTGTTATTCCACCGGATCCAGCAGAATGTTGGAAAGACATGATGTCAAGAGGTCTAGGACTCTCTTCATCTTTCTGTCCAACAGCAGTTAATTCTCCAAAAACAGAGCAGAAGGCGACCAGTTTTGGTGTGTGGAAAGGAAAGATCAAGTTTGAAGATGGGCTGGACTCAGCTGGAAGCTATGGGAGAAAAACTCCAGATTCCCCCAGTGCATCCCTCTAGGAGACGCAGTGGGGTAGGGGATCAGAATGTTGCTGACTCCCTCATTCTAAGCCCCTTCCTTCTCCCTTCCGGGCACGTGAGTCAGAGCAGAACTACCTTAAGGGCTCAACAGGCACCCCTACCCAAAACAAGTGCATTGTAAGCTTTGTGCACCTGTTTTGAATACTTCCTACCAAAGATGGGTGAACATTGTGGCTTTCCCTCACTGTGTCACTTGCAAATTCCATGCCCCTCTCGCTCAAGAAAACTTGCTAAATTAATTTAAAAACTCCAGCCCTGGTTAACACTGTCTGCAATAAGATTAGGGTCACGGGAAAAAATATATAATGGAGGCAGAATAATCAGGTCAGGACAAAAGATTTTGCTCCTGTGCTGGTGAAGGAAAAGGATTTGTCTAGATAACAATAGCCCTTCAGTTTTGTTCTCGCTGGATCTTTCCCAAAACATTGATTTGAGTCCACGGGATGGCCACTGTCCTAAAGAGGTACTAAAATGGTAAATCAGATTGATGAGGTTTCATTTTATGAAGGAGGGATTTCAGTGCAGGAAATTCATCTTGTATGAATGCTGTTGGTTTTCAATATCCATTTTCACTCATGCTTAAAATGCTTGATAGTTTTGCTAGTGACTCTTCCTCCTGCTAATGAAATGTATTTCCATGCCCCAGCAAGCAGAATGGCAACATTCTGCTCCAAACATGCACGTACGCAGAGTGCAATAAGTATGATCATAAATAAAATTAATACTTAAATGATGCCGAGGATATAATTGTTTTTAAATGTGCCAAGTTCTTATTAGAAATACTTGCATTTTGCACTTTTTTTTCTTTTTACTTTCTGAACTGCTATATATCAGAGTCCTTGGCTGTATGTTGTGTTCTGGACATTAAATAAAATGTGATTTTTCTCCTATTAAATTTGCTCTACCTTCTCATTTGATATAACATTCTTGCTACCTAAAGTTACTGCTGAACCTTCCACAAAATACGACCCATATTTTCTTATTAAATGAGTATGTTTTACACTCCCTGAACTCTTGACAGCTGGGAATACTAAGGGAGTATGATCATTTGTCATAAATTGCATGTGTGTGTTTTGAAATTTGCATACATTCTTATTGGTGTGTATGGTCACATATTAAGACTGAATCAGTGTGGGGTAAAGCAGCCAAAAATCTCACGTGTTTGTTTTAGGGATGTGCAGCTCTTTGGATCTGAAGGAGAAAAGGTGCTTTGGAGCCAATGTGGGCACAGATGCTGTGTCTATCAGAGGCTCCTTAGAAAAGTCATGCCCTTTCTTGGGCACACAGAGTAGCCACATGGATCCAGGAAGATACTGTACATGTTTGAATTAAGGAGACATTAAAGAGGTGGTGCATATTTGTGGTCCAGGATGTGGTGCTTTGGATCCCACTGATGCACAACCCCACTGTACTCTCCATGCAATTCCTGGGGAGACCCAGCTAGGTATACTGTCATTTTACTCCAGAGAAGACTCTCTGGGCCACTGATTTACCCTTTCGGTTCCTTGAGTAGCCTGCCTTGGTGAGAAGATGCATGCTAGACCTATATCCCTCAGTGGAGTCCTTGGGGTTCTCTGAGCTTGGTGGTTTTCTTGCAAACATTTCGTTACCTGGCTAGGTAACATCTTCAGTGCCTTTCTAATGAGCATCACTGCTTCATGAAAAATTCAAATCCTTTATTATACAGTACATAACAAGATCATAAGGCCTAGAAGAAACACAGATGAGGTTGATCTCAGTCAGTCCCTCCCTTGGCCCAGGATCTTGTGCAAACATAGTCAGCCACACCAGAACAAATGCATACAGCTCAGATCTTGGTCCATAAAATTATCTAAGGAGCCGCTAACAGGAACAGGGACTATACGCATGCTGGCTCCAAAGCGTCTTTCTCTTTGAATCCGGATAGCTGCCCATCCCTAATTTATTTCTACATGTGTATAAACCCTTTGAGTACAGGGTAAAGTAAAAAATGTCATTTGAAATGTACTAGTAGTTATGATATTCCCTAATTTACAAGTATAATTTATAAGTATAATTTACAAGTATGTTTTTGTTTGCTCTAGGAGATGAAAGTCGGGAGATTAAAAAACAAATTACAGGGATGAGAAGGTTGCTGAATGACAGTACAGGACGAATATACCAGCGAGTTGGCAAAGAAGGAGAAAAATTGAAGGAAGAACCCCAAGATTTAGACCTGGCCTGGACTCAGCGTCTGAATCCTCCTGCAGAAACCCAGGGACCTATCCACCAAGTATCGCAGGGCGGCACTTGGAATGAATTGTCTCCCCAAACTGGCCACTATTCAGGGCAGTATGGCACGCGTTCGAAAACCTTCCAAAACCAAGCCAGAACCGTGGGTACAAACGGTATGATCTAAATTAGATCTGTAGACCATTGTTTATTTGATTTTCATTATGCTACGTTCATGGGACAAAAACTAAGACAAAATCATTTGTCCAAAGTTGGCAATATGAAAAGTCACAAGCTTTTCTCTTTGGATGTAACGTTGACCTGTTATGTCATTATGTTTTAAAAATGGCTTGAATATATTTCTTGATTCTAACAATTGTACAGCAGCATCTGTGTGGGAAGTGTTGAAAAAATTATTCCTATATATTTATTATTGATTTATTCAATTTATATCCTGCCTTTTGGCCCAGAGGGTACTCAAGATATCCTAACCTGCAGAATGGAAAAAAAACTATTCCTTTTCAGTTTTGACTGTTTTCACCTTTTGACAGTGCGTTCATTTTGATTAGACCAAGGCAGTGCACGATACAAATCCTTTTGTAGCTGTAATATGATTGTTTGGAACATGCCTTCATTTCCAAGGTAAGTCTTGGAAGTGAATTGCTACTTCTAATGCAATGAGAAAGATATCGGAATAAAAAGGAAGAGCTGGAGAAATTAAAATCAATGTGGTGCAAGGATTACATTGTACAAACATCAGTGTAACATAATGATAAGAGGATGAGAAGTATTTATTAATAAAAATAGTTCAAAGTATTGGAAGCATTGTACAGACATTGTTGTTGTTGTTCAGTCGTTAAGTCATGTCCGACTCTTCGTGACCCCATGAACCATATTGCACCAGGCCTTCCTGTCCTT